GAAATGTAATGTGAGACAGGAGAGAAATGTTTTTTCTCTATTGTAAAGTGAGTGTCTTTTGGAGGCAATCCAAGTTCAGAATGCAAATATTTAAAGGAAAGGGCTATCTTTTGAGAAAGGCAAATACTGTACTTTTCCTTTTTGTTACAGTAGAACTAGTTAGCACAATCCATCCAGGAAGAAAGAGGGAACATACAGACAAAAGCAGGAAGAGATTCAGTTCACTTTTGCCTGTTAAGCTGAAGCTGCAAACCCTACCTGGGAGAGGGAAGAATAAGTTTTGAATAGTAACATGTGATTAACCAATAATGTGAAAATGGGTACTCATCCCATTTTACTTTAACCATATTTGTGACTTTCATTATAATTCTGGAGTTGCAGTTTTCAAGCCACAAGAAATCTTTGTATATACCATAAGAAATTTTTGAGTTCAAACTTATACTCAAAAGACAGCCACCCTTTAGCGTGCCAGTAGACTGCCTCTGCATTATTAAACATCAAAGTTATGTCAGTTATTTTCATGTTTGATTATTATTCCTGTTGTTCCACCAGAGAATCCTTTTACAAAATTGTTGGTAGCAACGACAAGCTAATGGATAGGATAGACTGATTTGGTTTATCTGCAGTTTTCGTTTCCTGCTTAGCCATACTGAATGGTTAATTATTTTCATTCACTCCACTACCTCACTACCTATCACAATCATCCCTAAATAAGATTACAGAATGGCTTGCTTACATATTTTATCAAAGTGAGATTGAACTCTCCAAGTTACTCTGGCTAAATGTACTAGTCAGGTCCAAGCACTTGTGTTCGATGAGGATGAACCAAGCTACCCAGGGAACAACTCCGTTGTTAGTATTAACAGCTTCACAGTTATTCAGCTTGAGGTATAATTATTTTACCATTATTACATGCAAAGCTTTTAACAAAACAGTCGTTCCCTCCATTTAAGCAGAGAGTTTTATAATTTATTACATCTCTTTGGTCATCAACGCACTATACAAACAGTTGGCCACTGGTGACCAATTACATTAAGGTTAAGCAACCTAACTTTAAATTAGAAATAAGCTAATGTATCTTCATCAAGGGCCTGCTGTGTTTTCACTGCTGTTTATGAGATGATACTAAATGTGGATATAGAGCACGCTCACTGGGACCAATTCCTTTCGGCCTGAAAATGGGAGAGTCTCAAGTGTACCCAGGTCCAGAGCTAATTAATGGGATAACATCTGCTTTAAGCATTCAGCTGGAGTAATTTCTATCAACTTTCCAGAGAAGGTGCAGGGGAAATTGTCAGAGAACTAAGTATCTATCATGAGCCGTATGAATCTGTGACAGGACTGCACAAAGCACATTTCAGTATTGGCTTTCTATTTATTTGGGGTGCTGCTACTGTCAACAGGCATTGCCCCCCCCAATTTTGCCTTTATTCAGTGTATGAATAATTGTGGGAACACATACATAAGTAACCTATTATATACACTTAGGCCAGGAGACTGTTCATGTGTTCAAACATCCAATGTAGAAGAGATAAAAGACAAGAATAAAACAGTCATGCTCTTTCTGAAACAGTTCAAGCCACAAAGACATTTATGTTGTTTTATCGTATTACTTAAAAATGCAGCAGGATTTGCTGAAGAGAAATACCAGTACTGTAAAACAAGCTTCACAAGGGCTAAGCGAACTTATTTCATGCTACATCGTGTTATCGGCTCTTGTACAACATGATTCCAGCTACTGTAGTGACTGAATAGACGCCTGTCCTGTGTGGGCATTTACATTAACCCACCCCAAATGGAGAAAAAAGGAAATTCTCTGAGAATTTACAACAAGCCATGTGGTGGAAACAGCTATGATTATTCCTGAAAGCAGAGGGGCCACTTCATTTCTAATTTTTGTGTGGATCTTATTTTTTAAAAAATATCTATTGTTTTTTGTTTTTGCAGAACAGTGAAGAAAATGATAAACAGGCCAGGAGATTGCCACATGTATGTGTTTTGAAGGAAGTCTCTGAATTCGTGTGCTTCACATACCTACAGTAAGGCAAAGAGCTCCAAAAATTATGATCTCAGTGATAAAGAAAAAAAGAGAGAAAGCAGTACGTTGTTTTTAGTGGTTGAACTGGAGTGTGCTGATGTCATTTGTTAAATAATCCTTGGTTCAGTAAGTGGCATCTATAAAATGTTTTCCGCACAAAAGAAGTATGATTGTGACCTTCCACCCTCACTTGAAATCTGTTGTGGTCAGAAGCCAAAAGTCAGTCAACATGAGGAAGGCAGGGAGACTGTGTCCAAAACCCCACAGCTTCCTGGACAAGCGTGTTGTTCAGGGTTATTTATGCAGAAACTGAGAGGAGGACCAGAATGCTTTTCAAGAATCTTAACACATCATACAAAGAGGAAGTCTGCGTTTCCTTGACGTATTCACTAATCCTGTGAAATGTTTAATATTGCTAAATTGAAATTGTAACTGTCCCCAACTTACATAATTTGTGCAATAATCTTGTTGCCAACTAATAAGTTGTGTTGGTTAATTGCCAAGCTATTTTGCATACAGTTAACTTGTGCATATAAAAATACGCATGATGAAACATGTAGTATTTTATAACCCAGAGCAACTAACATGCTCATACCTAATGCATGCACACACACTGTAACCCGGGACAAATTGCTTCTGTTAGTTACTACCACAGGCTGGCAGGCCAGAAAATACATTTGGTGCCTAATATGCATAAGCACAGAAATATGGTCAGGCTCATTACCGTAATAAAGCTGTGATTTGCCAGCAGGATTAGTAGACACACTTGAAGCAGTCCATCCCTTCCACTAGCTCATGTGCCATAAAGCAATAAGGTTATAACAAGGGGGCATCCTCAATGCCGTTGGGCTACCTTGTCTGGGTTATTTGAACCCTTATTTGCCTTCAGGGGCCCATTTGCTTGTCCTAATGTGTACACAGTGATAATATAGCCATTTACACAATAAGGAAGATCTGCAAAACAGTAGTCTGCTCTGCCATAACATGGAAGAGCCAGAATGTGGAACTGGCAACTATTGGTCCAGTTACATAAGTCTGCAGAAGCATGTATAAATCAGAGGGGTGCTTTCCATTGTGCTTTGGACAGTCAAGGATTGGGCAAGAAAAAGGTCAAAGGGTTTCTTTCCCAGGATTTCATAGAATTAGAAATGGGTGGAGAGAATAAAATGCCTTCAGTTATATTGAGAAGAAGCAGCTGAAGATGAACGTTCCCTCAGCAAAGGGAAGGCACCCGGGGAGCATTTCCCTTTGAGAGAGGTTGTTTAGACATTCTAACTGTGGAGCAGTGTGTTAAGTCACCTCCTAAGGATGCTCCACTCTGAACTAGCTCCTTACTAAAGGCTAGGAAAAGCAATGGGAGAAGACCCAAGGGCCTGGGGACCTGCCACCCAGGAAGACAATCTGGCTCCGGGCTTTGGCCTAGACTAGCCCTGACTGTGGCCATTGCGGGGAGAATGAACCAGGACATGAAAGCTCTCTGTCTTTCCCTCTCTCTCTGTAAATCTGACTTGTTTCTTTTTTGAAAAACAAATATTTATTTGCTTGTTTGTTTCTTTGTTCAAATTTGAAAGGAGATTTACAAAAGAAGGAGAGACAGAGATTGATCTTGCATTGACTGGTTCACTCCCCCAGTGGCTGCACGGGCCAGAGCTGTGTCAATCTGAAGCCAGAAGCCTGGAGATTCTTCCAGGTCTCTTATATGGATGTAGGGGTTCAAGGACTCAAGGCATCCTCCACTGCTTCCCCAAGCCCTAAGCAGAGAGCTGTATCATATTTGAGCAGCCAGGACATAAACCGGTGCTAGTACAAGATACCGGTGTCACAGGCATAGGATTTGTCAGCTATGCCACCATGCTGGCCCCTGTAATTCTTTCAAATAAATACATATTTGTTTTAAGAATCATAAAAATAAATAAAAACGACAATAGGAAAGCTAAGAGGGAATAAGGGCAAGGTTACCCCCACGTGGGCCCTACTGGCCCATAGGAATGAAATGTTTCATTTCTAGCATTGTTTTATAGGCTTGCATATAATAAACAGCCAGAGTGCCAATGAGACATTGTCCCTCTAGTCAACCTCAATTAGATGCCTTCTGGAATTCTGTGTTGAGAGGGATTCTGAGGCCATACCACAGTCTGAATATATGCAAAATGAGGAGGAAAACAGCATGTGTTTTAGAAGGCTCTCCCAATTTCCTAACTCCAGACTGTGAATGGCAGCATTCAACACACTTCTCCATGCAAAATTTTCAGACTTCCTTCATCCTGCTGTGCTAAGAACTTCTGGGTAGGATATTCAAAGAATGATTACATAGCACACATACTGGTTGCAAGTATTATGCAGATCATATACATATTATTTAATATTAATAATTTTAAGTCACACACCTTCACATAGAAAATAGCATGTGTAAAAATAATTTTACATAATGTTCATGTTGATTCTCAGAGGGAAGTAGCCATGGCACAGTGTGAGTAAAATGAAGATTTCAACAGCTAATGAATAAGGGGCATCTCCAGTTTGGCCTAATGGAAATATGAAAAAGACAGCTGCTGCATAGTGTGGTTTACAAGGGTTCTGAACGTTTGCATCTCACAACCATTAAGTCCCATTGGCCTTTTGTGGTGTCTCTGACACCAGCAGAATAGCTATTGTGGGCAAATCTCTAGGATGCCCCAAGTGGAAAGCAAACCAACTACTACCAAAGGCCAAATCCTAAATTAATAACCCCACTTCCTATTAACAAACTGGCTGGCAACTTCCAAAGAGATAGTAGTAATCCAAGTGAATGGCAGAATGCATATCTTTCTTTTAAGAGAGATGTGATGTTGATTGAGAAGGAACGTTTGTAGTAAAGAACTGTCCTGGAGAAAGGCCTTTCCAGACAGAGCTTGACGGTGAAAGCTCCAGATTCCCGAGAACAGGGGATGTCAGATCAGACCCACCAGCATTTTTGGCCTACCTTTTAGATGCCTTGAGATCTATTGCATAACATACTGACACAGCATGAGCAGAGGCCTGCAGGTAAGAGATAAAAAGGTTTAGTACAGGAGATTTCACTCCAAGAGACCACTTTGTTATTAGTGCTTACCATCACTTTTAAATAAGTAGTGATCATTTTACTCTGTATCAGTGGAACTACAAGTTAGCATTTTTTCTGTTGATGCAGTTTGAGTTTCATCAGGTTTTCAAAACTTCATCATCTTTCTCATATGGATGTGTCATATTTTAATACTGTGGAAACTGCACACCACATCACTACACACACACACACACACACACACACACACACACACACACACACACTACCCCTAGTTCAAGAGCACACACACACACACACTTGATGTTAGAACATCTCAGTGGAGAAGCAAAACAAATGTGTGTATCACCAAGCACCTGCACACCAGGAGCACCGATGTCCGTCTCAAGAGCAGGTAGTCAGGAACAGAATTAGGACCTGCTTCTTAAAGTCGCTTAAGGCTGGTCTTAAGGTCATCTGAAACAGAGAACAGACCTTACCGTGGAAGAGGCGTGTCCTCCAGTCACAACATCAATGGGAAGCCAAGGCCAGCATCTGTGGTCCTTTCTAGACTGACCTCTTTAAATCTGAGGCTCCCAGGTGAAGCCCTGATAGAGGGAAACAAAAATAGCTACTCAAGTTTACTGTAAAGTCACTTTTCTATCCTTTGGTTTTCTTTTTCTTTTCCTCCTTGTTTTTCCCCCCTGCTTCTGCACCACCAATCCTTACACAGCCTCCCTGAGGTCTTTCTAGGTTTGATCTAATGACCTGGGTGCTGAAGGGCCCTTAACATGCCCAAGTTAACAGGCCTGCCTGGGCCAGCTGCCATCTCTGAGCAACCACAAACTCCATGAACTGTTTGGCCATAAAAATCAGCTATAAAAGAGTGAAAAATACCAGAGGACCAAATGGGAGAGGGAGGACAAGGAGAAATGGCTCTTACACCCTTTTAGTGGACATCTGATTTATTTTTTAAATGGGAGAGCCACTTTTATAGCTACTGTGGTTCAATTATCTCTAATTTTATACATTTTATGCAAATTCCTAGCATCATAATTGCAAATGAGAAGGAAACTTAGTTTTTTTTTATTCAGAACAACAAGGTATAGTTTTGTATTTTCTTTTCAATTTTTAATTCCTATGCTTGGTTCAGCATGATTAAACTTTTAAAACTCTTTTTACACAGTTGCTTAAAATTATGTGTAATTTAAAGCACACTCCTCTGTACACAGACACCCATAGCTTTAAACAAATAGCTGATTTTATTTCTAGACCTCACTCTCCATTTTGAGGAAGATAGTTTGATGTCTTCCTACACACAGTTTCAAAACACAGAAAGGGGATACAGTCAAAAGTTTACACAAGGGAACATGGCGTCCTGTCTCATAAATCAAGCATCTTGGAACAGATTCTAAATAGGTCTGGGTTTTTGCCCAAGTCCTTAGTTTTCAAATGTGAAGTGCGCTGGTAGATGCTTAGTAACCAACCCTCTTAGTGTGGACTGGGAGGGGAAAGGGGACAGCTTTGGCACAATGCTTGGCAATTCCCTTAATGCGAACACTTCCACCATGGTTGATTTCAGCTGCCAATGTTGAATCACTCCAGGGAAGTTGGGGAGAGATGTGCTCAATTGGCTTTTGCGAGCTAAACCACTGTGGAGTCAGCTCAAACACACCATTACTTTAAGAAATTCAAACACACTTACAGGGTTTTCAACATGTCTTACTCTTGTGCAGGGTTGTTAGAGGTAAAAAAGAGAAAATAGATTTCTACCTAGGAAACAGGTGTTGTTTGTAGATGGACCTAGGAAGCTTAGTTTACTGCTCACAAGCCTAGTCGTGAGCTTTAGTTAAGAATTTGCCCATTACCAGTCACCTCAGTTGTGTCAAGTCTCTTTTTTTTATATCCAAAATAAAGATACGCATGTCAACAAGTTTGTTGTGAATTTACTGTCTAACAGTCAAAGAGCCTATTGTCCAGATCTTGAGAAACTGAAAGGGATATGCACATAGCAGCTAAATATCTTCATGCTTTGCTCAGCACTTACTGCTGTAGCTCACAAAAATACATCTTGGTGGCACCATTGGAGGCACAAAGACGTTTATCATAGGATAGTTATTTTTTCAGTAGATAATGTTTTCATGAGAAGATCCCATCTGGTTGTTTGGGGGAAGCATAGACATTTTCTGAATTCTGATTCTTGAGATGAATGTCTCCAAACATCAAGGAAAGAGGGGAAAGTTTCAGTGTTTTTTTGGAGTGGTCTACAGCTTAATTTTTAGAAGTACTAAATGTCACTCATGAAAAAGATGAAGGAAACACAGAGAATGCTGTGCTTAATACTCCATGAGAGAACCAAGCAGCAGCCACGAGAGATAGTGCTGCCGTTAAGTTCCAAGTTTACATCACCTTCTCCGTCTGCTAGAAACAATAGGACACTGGAATCTTTCAGAATCTCACGCAAAGAATTTGCATCCAAGCTATTTTCCAGGGGCCAGCACAATGGCTCCTTTGGCTAATGCTTCACTTCAAGCACAGGTATCCCATATGGGCACTGCTTCATGTCTTGGCTGCTTCACTTCCCAACCAGCTCCCTGCTTGTGGCCTGGGATAAAAGTGGAGGATGGCCCAACACCTTGGGACCCTGCACCCACGTGGGAGACCCGGAAGAAGCTCATGGCCTTAGACTGGCTGAGCTCTGGCTATTATGCCACTTGGGGAGTGAACCAATGGACAGAAGATCTTTGTCTCTCCTCTCTCTCTCTGTAAATCTGCTTGTCCAATGAAAATAAATAAATCTTTAAAAAGGCATTTTTTCCAGTCAAGATTCTCCCTTTCCTTCCCAAATACATTTCATTCTAAGACATCAAGTAAAGGTAGAATAATCATTTGCCAACTACAAAAATCTGGATTCCACTCACACAGAAGCAAATGAGAATAGAAAGGAAGGCGTATTATGTAGCACCTGTCATTAAGCTCTTGGTCTAGCAATAATTAGGGTTGCTCCCACAAATGTCCAATTCCAGGCAGCCAGTCCAATTCTTCTTTGTGTAAAGGAAAATGAATTGTAGATATGAGTCCCTGACTTTTACTTTTTCTTTTTTCTCCTTTTCCGTTGTGACTTCATGCTGGTTTGCAATTTGTGTTTTCCCCACTGTAGTTAATTCTAAGACACAGTCGATCAACTCATGCTTCCTCAGTAATGGAAGTGCCTCTAAATAAAATTGCATAAAGCTCAACACTTCGACGGAGAGCATCCCTACCAGTCCTCTCATCCTGTATTTAGCTGGCTACCCTCCATTGAAGTTACATTTGTAGCATAATTAATGAAATAAGCTTTTCTTCCGACTTGCCTAAACAGCTACGCCAGGTGATTTGGAAACTGTCTTTTTATGAGGAAACATTGCTAAGGGCCTGAGACCTCTCTCCATAACCCCTGGCAGCCAACATATTAAACACATGTGACCGAGGCCTGACAGGCTGAAAAATATGCAAGTCTCATAACGCATGTCAACAATTTTACTATCTCGTACAAATGGAAACTTGCTGAATTTATTCCCTAAATTGCTTTTTATGCTTTTCTTGGTTCTGGCTTAGTGGTAATGTATTTAAATGTCTGGGAGAAATATTCAAAAGAATGAAACACATAACTTTAGTTGAGATGCCCACATTTCAAACCAAACACTGGCAGATCCGTGAGTATCTGGGTTAATACTATCCTTATTTGATTAGGATAATCCAGGGGGACACTGACTCATTTCTTCAGATTCTACCTTTTAACCAATCAATATTTTTAGGGTTATGGTTTTGTGAAGGCAGGTGATAATTTTGGAGATAACATCTCATGGTGTTACTGACATTGAGATGCGTATTTAATATGTTCCTGGAGTGACAGTGTTGGAATGTCCCTCTGGAAATTCACACACACATGCAAGCTCACACAGACAACGCAGCTAACCTTTAAATTCCTGAAGCCCCAGTATAGCTTTTAGCAAACCGGCTCTTATTAATGTCAATGAAGAATTGAAATTTTCAGGACTGGGGAGGGACTCCCTTTCCCTGGGATGGTCTGGTCTTTTCAGTTAAAAGAAACCCCTGAGAAGGAAAAGCAGCTTTCCAACCCAGAGATCAACAGTGAGGACAGAAGGCAAGAACAGTGAGAGGGCCTGGAATGCCGAGCTGCTGGCTTCCCTAAATCAGGGAACAGGGGAAGGTGGGCGAACACAAAGGAGCAGAAAATTAGAACAGAATTTTTTAGGGTGTCATTAAAATATATCTATTTTAATTTCACATGGCTAAAATTATCTTCTTGCTTTGTATTAATTTTGCCTTGACTGAAATTAGTTGTCAGACCTCTGTTTATAGCCTAATTACCTTTTTCCTGAAAAAAAAAGGGAGGTAAAAGAAATAACAATAAATTTGTAATGCAAAAGCTGCAAGTCTGCATATTAGTAAGGATTAGGGATGGTTCTAGAAATAGGGTTTGAAAACAATTTCAGCAAATCTGCGAGGGGTCCCTACTTCTCCCAATGCTAAGATTTTGTGAGTTCTCTCTTGTTGACTGTCAGACTTATTTCTTGAGGCCACAGACAGCTGAGGGCAAGTTGTGGCAGCTTGATGTCATCTGTTTTAATTTAGCTCTCTTATCAATCCAGCTAGATAATTAGGTGTTACTCTTAGGACCCTGCATTGACAAAATTTCTGTTACAGGCCAGATAGCAAAGTCTTTCATCTTTGCGGATCACACTGCACTCTTTTTACCTTACTTTGCCATTATAGTGCAAAAGCAGCGACGGACAATATACAAGCAAGGGGGACTGTGTGTTGAACTGGCTTTATTTCAAAAACAGAAACAGGCAGAAGGTAGGGATTGGCTAACAAACCTTCTGCTCAGGATAATTTAAAACAATGGGACAGGGAAAGAAATTAACATAGTACAGCATAGTACAGAGCAAGTGTTCAACAAACATTTGAAATAAAAATAATATTTATTAAATTTAAACATGCGTACATAGTTCACTTGATAACAGACAGACGAAATTACCCCCAAGTCAGAATCTGTGGCATCAAAAATAAGAAATCAATTTTAAAAATAAGTTACCAAAGGCTAATGAGAGTGGAAGCATTTACAGAGATTGTCATATATACACCTTGTTCACTGAGACTAAGCGAATGAACAGTTCTGCACAAACTATTGGTGGCACATAATGCCAAGATCTCATAGAATGCCATATGATAACAGACTTAGAATTATACTCTCTGCCATTGACACAACAGAATGGGGCAGAAAGTGTTGGCTGAGTCAGGGAAATGTGGGATTTTTTTTTAAGATGTACTTATTTCTGTCTGACAGGCAGATTTAAAGAGAGAAACAGACACACACAAAGAGATTTCCCATCCACTGGTTCACTCCCCAAATGGCTACAATGGCCCATGCTGGGCTGGTCTGAAGCCAGGGGTCAGCAGCTTCTTCAAGGTCTCCCACATAGGTACAGGAGTCCAAGGACTTCAGATATCCTCTGCTGCTTTCCTCAACTATAAGCAGATAGCCAGACTGGAAGTGGAGGTAGCAGAGATTCGAACCAGCATCCATATGGGATGCCTGCACTGCAGGCAAAGGATTAGCATGATAGGCCACCGTACCAACCCCAGAATGTAATTTTTTAACCAATGCATCAACATGAGTAGTTTTACAATTCCCTCTCAACAGGATGAGCTCCAATTGTGTCTTAAGTAATACAAGATTTGAGAGGCCAAGTTGAGTAGCATTCCTACTACTGCTTAGCCCTGTAGCCAGAGACTCCTTCGGGGTGGACCAGATGATCCCAGGGTTCTCAACTGCCTCAATGATTCCAACAGTTTTATCCACTTGCTTTCTACTTAGAAGATTCCTGCCTTGCTCTGCGATGCTTTTTACCTAAGGGTGAAATGTTGAACTGCTTTTCTTTTTCTCCTCAACTAAGCAAGTTTCCACTCCACTCCCCCTCCTCCCCTACCCTCACAGCAAGAGACCCCTCTTGAATGTTAATGCTGTGCAGATCCCCACAGGTAGTCAGGAACAGGGTACACCATCAGGCCTGCAGCGGAAAGGCCCCTCTCCAGGCCCAGCCTGCTAAGTTTTCCCAAGCATCCCTCAGCTTCCCAAGTATTCCTCAGCTGGAGGGGCTTTCCCAGCACTGTGTCTGGACCATTGCCAAGAAGATCTGTCCAGCTGTAAGCCTGATTTTATATAGTTATTTTCACTTATTTTTTATTTTGCAAAATGTAAACGAATCTGTTTTGCTAGGAAATTACGTCCCTTGAAAGTGATTATAACCTAATTTGACATGCAGTATTTGTACACTTATTCTAATGTTATGATACATTTAAGCTGTTTACATAAATAGAGATTTCTATATAATTACCACAAGATAATGTAAAGAGTTAATCATATGAAATCTCCCAAAATCTCATTTGGGCATTTTTTATATGGAACTAAAATTCCTTTGGGAATAAAAGGGGCACATTTCTAAAATGTCTTATAAATCTTCTTTGAGAGCCTCACAAAAATATCACGTTCTTCATTGGTTAATAAAATTTTTAAAAATTCCTGTGTATCTAATAGGTACAGCATGCTAATAAAGATGGAATTTTTAAAATATTTGTTTATTTTTATTGCAAAGTCAGATATACACAGAGGAGGAGAAACAGAGGAGATGATCTTCTGTCCACTGATTCACTCCCCAAGAGGTTGCAACATTCAGAGCTGAGCTGATCAAAAGCCAGGAGCCTGGAGTTTCCTCCAGGTCTCCCACATAGGTGCAGGGTCTCAAGGCTTTGGGCCATCCTCCACTGCTTTCCCAGGCCACAGGCAGGGAGCTGGATGGGAAGTGGGGCTGCCGGGATTAAAACCAGTGCCCATATGGGATCTTGGCACATTGAAGGAGAGGACTCTTAGCTGTTAAGTTACCGTGCTGGGGCCAAAGATGGAAATCTTACATTTTGCCTACAAGGGCATTGCATGTAATCAAGCTCAGAAGGACTCTATAGAGAAAAGATGAAACTAAGCCTCAACACTGTCTGGCCAGTCACTGCTTTCTTCATGAAAATCACAATGGACAGAATCTGTAAGGAGAAATTGCATAGGGGAAAAGCAAGAGAAGAGAGGCAAACGGCATAAAATTCTAAAGGAAGAACTGCAAATATTTAGACGTTTTTCTCTTTTTATATCTTATTGGCAAAGAAAGGAATTTCCCCCAAATTGCAATCTTTTCTTAAAACTGGAAAGGCACATTCACATGAAGGATGATCCAATAGTCTTACACTATCTACCAAGTTAAGAAACATCCACTTGTCTATCTTCCCGAGGTTAAATAAATGTTTCTCTTTGTACTTATCTACTTTCATTCATTCAATTTGTGCCATTTGCTCAGCTCTATCTTAGGGTATTTGAGGAATTAAAAAAAAAAAAAAGTAAAAGGCCTACCGAAATACACCAACTTGCAGAGGGCTGGCAGAATTTCCATCACGACATCTGTTAAGAAAGATGAAGAAATCACTGCACGTGACTAGTTCACAAATGCTGTCCTCTCTTCTGCTCACTGGATGCTGGGCACACAGGAGAACCAGGGAGGGGAAGGCACAACTTCTCCCTTTTCAGGCTAAACCTTCCTCCAAATCCTTGGGTTCTTCTCCTTAGTTTCTAAAAGATAAATAATACTTAGACATAGCATAACGTTACATTCTCAATAGAACATTACTTTGGCAGAAAAGGACTGAAATTGAGTAATATACAATTCTAAAAATTATCAGGACTAGAGATAAGGACTTAGAAATAAAATGGATTATAGGATTTACCTCTCATTATCTTGAACAAACCAAGCCACTGACGTGAACCTAGCATCCATAGCAGTCATTTAATACACAATGTTTTAATATAATCCAATGCAAGCCAATACTTCAACAGAAATATATTCAAATCAACATGAACTGAAGTACCTAGTGAACCCAATGGCTCATGAGTTAATGATTTTACATCAAAAGCTGAAATAAATTGCAAATCGTTTATCAATAGAACCAGAAAAGTTTGTCATAAGAAGTATTTTGTTGTACAGTTACTGCTTCAACTATACATTCTCAAACTATTTTGATAATTGAATTATTCTTAACACCTTAAACCATGTCAGCCTACAGGTAAACTGATTGATCATTTACACCCTATTTGCTCTAGAGATTTTTCACACAGATCCATGTTTCGGTGTGTTCTCTCATTACAAGTGCACTGAGGGGTCATCATGTTGAAGAGGCATAGCAATGCACTTTGGATCCCAGTTGTGCTACTTAGTATCATGTTCCTTTGAGTAAGCTGTTCAGCTTTTTATTCTTTAGTTTTAGTTTTTGCAAAATGGAAGGGGCAATTCCATTCTTTTTCATAACAAAGAATGACTTTATTTTAAAGTCAGTGTTATAGAGAGGAACAGTAAGAGAGCTGCCAACTCCTCATTTGGCTGGAACAGCTGGTGTCGGTACAGGTCAAAGCCAGGCACCAAGAGCTTCAGCCCGATATTCCACATGGGTGTCAGAGGTCCAAACACGAGGTTGCAGGGGGTGGGGAGATCTTCCACCGTTACCCACTGTTATCCCAGTCCAATCACAATGAGCTGCATGGAGAGTAGGGAAGTTGGGACACAGACTGGCAATAATATGTGATGCTAATGTTGCAAGAAATGGCTTTAACCACTATGCCACAATGTCAGCCCTGACAATTTCCATCCTTACGAGTATTTAAGCAAGTTCTTCCCAGATGGACTTAGAGCATTTGCTGGCACATGGCAAAGACACAAAATAATGGCTTGCTAGTATATAAGAAACACTGGTGGTCACACTGTCCTTGAATGACATTCATCTACTACCATTACCATATATGTTTCTATTTTTATCAATTGAACATATTCCCTAAGTTGTAAACCTTTATGAAAAAGTATCAATGCCAGGAGGAATGTACATTTCATAAAAATTATACCATCAAGTGAAATACTTCTATTCTCCTTCTCCCTCCAATGTCTCCACTATGTTTTATCTTTCATTAACATCACTAATTGTGACATACTTGCACTCATGACTACCTGTTTTTTTTCTAATGAGAAATGGGAAACAGATGAATGGCACTAATTACCAACGATCTATAAAACTTCGTGTTTTAAATTCTTTTTTTCTTTTTAATTTTTAATATTATTATCATTTTATGATACAGTTCCATAGGCCCTGGGATTTCCCCTTCCCTCTCCTCAAATCCCCTATCCCACTGAGTTCTCCCATATCATTACAACAGTATACTTCTGCATAAACTGTCATGTGTCCACCATTGTGGGCATGGGCAATGGCAAAGAGTTCAGTATTCCATTGTCATAACATACCCCATAGTTTCACCCTTGATCTGGAAATAAAGATGAACTCTGCATCGTATCCTCACATCTGGATATGACAATTTCCACTACACAATCACTATAAATGCCCCCAAGTGAAAAGCCACAAAACAAAATTAACAACAGGAAGAAAATGAGAAATTTACAATGCTATGAAGTTAAACAAAATGCTACCAGATATGATGGTTTCCATTACACAGTTACTATACATCCACTTAAATGCAAAGCCACAAAACAAAATCAGCAACAGGAAGAAAAAATGCCGTGAAGTTAAATAACATGCTACTGAATGACTAATGTGGCTCTGAAGAAATGAAAAAGAAGATCAAAAATCTTCTTGAAGAGAACAATGCTACTGTATGATCTGTGAGTCAGTGAAGAGTTTAATGAGAAGAAAAAAACTGTTGTAAAGCAATGTAACTAAAAACAGAAACATTAAAATCCATGAGATGCAGTTTCTGTTGATCTGACATTTGATTGATGAGTTTAAGCCATTTACATTCAAGGTTAATATGAATAGGTGTTAATTTGGTCCTGTCATTTAGCAATGTGTTGTTCACTGATTGATACATCAGTTTTGTACAGTGTGGCAAAGGCTTTGAGACTGCAAAGGCAACAGTGAGCTGCACATGCACTGAGCTGGGAGGGGACTCACTGAGCTCAATCCATTGCAATGGTCCCACAGGGATAATACTACTGATTTTGGCAACCTATGACTCAAAATAGGTCCATGTGGCCTTCAGACCTAACGGTCAGCAGGTTCTGGCAAGATCAGCACCACCAACAACCTAGCTATTTAGGACACTTTGTGTTTCCCTAATCCTGGGAACTGTTCAAACTGGAAATGGGAGAAAGGTTAAACAGAGAACAGTATAGCCCCAGCATGGGATCACAGGAGGTGGAGAATGGCCAGCCAGGAGCTAGGACTCTTGAGTCCTTGCTGGAAGTCTAACCTAAAAGCTCAGATCTGAAACTTGCTGGAGAGAGTGGCACAAGTGACTGCAAACAAAGAACCGAGTACCAAATACAATAAGTAAAGTTGAATTTCAGAACTGTGGTTGATACAGTGTGGAAACCTGCTCCAAGGAGAATAATCTGATTATCAGAAGTACAATGACCAAGAGCAGAAGGAGAGACAGAGATACAATGAGTATTACTGAAGACTCCCCCTGCAAAAGAGCAAAAGCCTTTGCCAACCTCAGAGTTAACTGAGGAATATGCTGAGAAAATCAGGGATACAGAATTCAAAACAGTCGCTATAAAGCTTCTTATCGACAATGAAAAGCACATGCATGGATTTAAGCAATATGTCACACAGGAAATAACAGCACTGAAACAAAATCAAGCTGAATTATTAGAAATGAAGGAAACAGTGGAGCAAATTAAAAATTCAGGAATGCCTCAATAATAGAATGAATGAGGCAAAATAAAGGATCTTAGAATTGGAAGATAATTTCCTTTCACAATGAGGAAATAATCAAAAAGCTGGAAGCAGAGCTGGGTCAGATTCTTTTTTTGTTGACTGTTATCTTTGTTCTACCTTCCTTTCTAGCTGATGAATCGCTCAGTGCAAACTACAGAATATGAGCTCCAAGACCTCCCCTTGTTGCTCCTCTGTCAATGACTACTTATTACATACATATACCATGTTCATTCACTTTTTTTAAATTTGATTTGAAAGGCAGACACCAGAAAGAGAACCACAGAGAGATAGAGAAAGATCTTCCTTCTGCTGGCTCACTCTCCAAATGTTTCAACAGCCTGGGCTGAACCAAGGCAAGACCAGGAGCCTGGAATTCAAGCTAGGTCTCCCAAATTAAGGTCAGGGATCCAAAACACGTACCCATCATTTCAGCCTTCCTGACTGTACACCACAGGAAGCTGGATTAGAATGTGAGTGGCCAAGCCTGCACTCAGACTCAGTTATGGGGAATCCTGTAATTTTTACCATGCTCCTTGCCTAAGCATATTTACTTTTGACATGAGTCATTTATTTGTACTAACCATTGTAGGAAAAGAAAAGATTTCTTTTTGTGCATCTATAGAATGTTTAGTGTCACATCCAAGGCAACTTGATATAGTCTCAAGGGGATGACAGGAAGCTTCTTAACAGTCTTATCATAGGCAGCACAATCTGTTGTGCCTCAATTTCAAGGCTACTGCTCTATTTTAAATACAGCATCTCCTTTGTGTTTCTGGTTCCTAATCTCAATGTCTCTTCCTTCATGTTAGGTTCTCTAAATTGTGATCGTGTTGGAGGAGACAACACAGAACTAGGGTAGTTGCGAATCACAAAACTTGTTTATTGAGACAGATGTTTGCAGAATATTGGTTGCTTAACATACCAGTTTGTCTTCACTAAAAGACGTTAAACTGGAAAGCTTTGTTTAGTTTCACTAAGTAAGATGGCTACAAACTGCTATCACTGTTGCTTTCAATTGATTTCATGAGAAGAAGGCATCCTTCTGTATCAGTTTTCTTTTCATACTGAAATAAAACGCCGTCATATGAAGCCTGTGCTTGCTCTGTGCCTTAAGTATCCATAGAATCACTTAATGTATACACTTCTCTTTTCAAATGTTTCACGTGATAAACTAAAACAAAATAGGGGTTTTGTTTTAGTTTTCTTTAATCCCTCAAATGCAACATTTGGGGTTTGAGAAAGCTAAACATAAGAGAAAAAATATCACGAGTGTCTTGCTTAATGTTACACTTGGTTTTAAATCAGCTCAGGATAGAGCTTTGTTCTAAACAGAATTAAAATTTCTCTGGTTCATCTTCCACAAACATAATTTTCTTCTGCTGTGGTATATCTAAAGGAAAAAAAAATACTTTTAGATCTGGAATTCATTTAAAAAATGGCACATACAATGCTTCCAATAAATAATATACCGTGATAAGAGCAACAAACTGATTGAGTAATGTCACTCTAATGACTTTTTATCCAACAGCTAGAACACCTGCTCCAGTGCTGTTTTCCTTCAGGTTTATTGCATTTTCTCAATAGAACTACTTACTAAGAGAATAACCAACATAAAGTCATTTGCCAAGGTGACTAAACTACCTTCTGTCAGGGGCTTGGGCTGCTGCTGTGAGCACAAATTCTGAAACATGGCTAGAAATTCATACCCTGAGTGCATACTCTCTGGGTGTGGAGCTTGGGCGTTCTTAGAGAAATTTTCACCCAAGGCCTCAAGGATCAGTTCAGAGATGACCTTTTTGAATTTTAAGGTGTAAACAGCTTGGTCTGGAATAAATGAACACAATTGAAGGACTG